AAAGGAGGATATAAAAAAAAATAAAGCATAAAAATTAAAAATACAATTATTTAAAATAAGATATCATCCATTCAATCACGTGGGGCTGGATTTTAATCAACATCCCCAGGCCTGCCGGAACAGCCAGGTCTTGGTCACTTTACGGAAGGCCGGGAGAGTGGTAAGGGTCCGGATCTCTGCGGGTAGCTCGTTCCATAAGGCCGGCACAGCTACAGAGAAGGCCCTCCCTTGGAGGGCCGCCAGCCGCCATTTTCCGGTCGACGGTACCCGGAGGAGGCCCAACCTGAGTGATCTTATTGGTCGTTGGGAGGTAAATGGCAGGAGGCTTTCTCTCCGAAGGGCTGCACGAAAGGTTTCCACAGCAACGAGAAGCCTCCGGAGCCCGAAGACGCCTCAGCCCAGCCCAAGCCGTGCACCGCAGACCTGGTTCCGGAGCCAAAGTCCACGGAGGTGCTGCAGCGGGAGAGACCCAGGTGAGGAAGGGCTTGATAAGGAACGCGCCCGGAGGTCACCAAGCCTGACGGTGCCGTCAGCTTTCGGCTGGGGCTGGGAAGGGGTTGTGTTTTTACAGGTATACTTCCTCCACACGAGGAGGTCCCATTGATCTGCTTCCCTTCCCAACCCCATCAGTCAATTACGCACCGGGAGAAGGAACCGGTCCGTGGGGTGGGGCTGGCAGAAAGAGTTACCCTCCTTTTGCCCAAACTTAATGTAAACTGGCTCCTCCGTGCCCACATCCTGCCCTCTCTTTGGCCTCCAGTTCCGATGAGCCCAAGCAGCCGCTGCTGGTGAAGGTGGCCCAGGCGCTACAGCAAGTTCTGGAGAAGCTCAACGCATCTACGGCTCCGCAGCCTGCCCCGCATGGCTTGGCCAACCCCGGTGGGAAACATTAGGGGGCTTGCTTGGGGGGGGATGAGGAAGCCAGAGTGAAGGGAGGCAGCTGAGCTGTTAAGGGGCCACTCTCTTCCCAGCTGACTGGGGATGCCACAGGAGGCCCCAATGCACCTCTGGGTGTCCCTGGGAGGCTGTGCGGAGAACCAGCTGAGAACGCTGGAAGCTGCAGCCATCCAAACCTGGCTTGGGGAAGGTCCGGAGCCTCTGGGCAGAGGCTGTGGGGCAGGAGAGGCTCCCTTGCAAGCGGAGGTGGTGGGCCCTGGGGGGCAGCTGCCGTTCTGTGCTCCGGCAGACTTGCAAGGCTCTGAGCGGCTCTTTTCTGGCTGTCTTCTTAGGCGGCAGCTCAGAGACGAGCATCGGCACGGCCTGCAGAAACGCCGGCTGCAAAGCGGTGAGTTGCCGTTGGGCTGCGTGGCTTCTAACATCCTCCTTGTACCCAATTAAGGGCCCAGCCTTGGCTGGTCGGGAAACAGCCTGCCTCCCCAGGGCAGGGCAGCGCTGGTCAAAGAGGGAGGGAAGGAAGTGCTGGGCCGACAGAGCCGGGCGCCCTTGGCAGCTGCGGGGATGGCTTCTTCCTGCCCACTTGGCCCATCCTTCCTGGCTCCTCTTTCAGACTTTTCAGGGGGAGGAGAGCAAGACGGAGAGCTGCCAGTTCCACCCAGGAGTGCCCGTCTTCCATGAGGGGTAAGCATCCCGGGCACTTAGGATGCCCTTCCTGCCCAAAGTCTCTGCCTCCATCGGTGATGCCCACGGTGGGGGATTACCTGCCGTGGGACCTGGCCTCTTCCACCCCCTCCTGCCCTTCCGCATTGGCCCGCCTGGGGCTGCTGATTCACATCAGCATGGCCCCTCCAGCTGTGCCCCCCCAAAGAGCTGCCTGCCACTCCCAGGGGGCACAAGAAGCAGATGAGGCCTCCTGCGGTTCTTGTCCTCCTAATCACTGTCGTTGAATGGAGGCTTCACCCGCGTTGTGAGCCATCTGGAACTGTGGGGTGCGGGGGGCAGGCACCGATTCCTATTCTAACTACCCAGAGAAATATCTGCCCAAGCTCTCTGCTTGTCTCTCCCCCACCCCTCCTCTCCGGCTGGGATCTATCCAGCATGAAATACTGGAGTTGCTGTGGGATCAAAACCACGGATTTTGCCGCATTCCTGGAGCAGAAGGGTTGCAGCAGAGGGAAGCACACCTGGGTAACGAGGCAGGTGAGGGTCTTCTGCCTAACGCCCGCCCTGTCCGTGGCTTGGCCTGCAGCCGGAGGGAATCAGGCGGCCGCTCTGCCGGGACAGTAAGGGATTGGGCCAGCCTGGCTGGTTGCGGCTACCTGTGAAGTATGGGCTTGAAGGGGGCTTCTTGCCACGAGAAAACCTTCCTGCAGCTTAGGATGGAAATGGGGCTGGTGGCTCCCTGTCCCGTTTGGGGTCCCTGGGGAGGTTTTCTGCCTGTTGCAAGGACTCCCTGCCTAAGAGGGGGCAGGAATGTAGAGCGGCTGTTTTTCTACCGGCATCCAGGAGGACAAGAAGCTGGTCTCTTGTCGGCAAGACTGGCACCAAACCAGCAGCCAAGTGGTGGTGACCCTCTATGCCAGGACCCCACTGCCCCACCTCAGCTCCATCAAGGCCAACCGCACTGGGGTAAGGAAGCAGGGCCGCCGGAGGGGGAGAGGAGGCACAACTGCTTCTCAGAGGCGGCCTGCTGGGCACTGCGACCAACTGCCCTTGCAGTACAGGGCAGAGGTCCTGCGGCAGGGCTTGGGTCTGAGGAGGCTTCTTCCTCTTGCTTTGCAGCTGGACATCCGGGTAGCCTTTGAGGGGGAGAAGTTCTTCCAGGCCCAGCTGGATCTCTGGGGGGTAGGTCTGGCTTATGTGGCTTATGAGGTGGCGCAGTGGTTAAATGCAGCACTGCAGGCTACTTCA